GTGGGGACATGGCCCTACTCTGCTGACTCTGCTGTTGCCATAGGGGCTGTTGGCCTCCTTACCCTCTCCCAGATATGCCCAGATGTGAAGACCCAGTGGCTAGGCCACCCCCACTCCCGGGTGCCTGAAGGCCACCAAATGTGTGTACTGCTCCAAATGAGTTGAAGGTCACTGTGGCAGAGGAACCTGTGGGAAGGGCTAGGCCCCTCCTGCACATTGTGATTCACCAGTGGCTTGGCAACAGCACGCCCTTAATTTAAGGCATTGGGTTTAAACTTGAACCATTGTGCCATATTTCAGCTTTTCCTTTGCCAAACCGCCAGTCAACTTAAGCTAAAACATGTTTTTTTGGAAAATGCTTTTAGGGGCAGTAGGAATGTGGTAATTTGCTGGAAACATTGGAGAGAACGCAGAGTGGTGATGGGGGAGAAAGTGAGAACGTGTATGGTTCCAGAGTGAGATGTTTTTTGCTTGCAGGTGGCTTGCAAGCTTTTAATCTGTCCTTCCTCATCCACTTGTGCAGAGGAGTCAGTTTACTACTCAACTGGGGTCAGGTTCCCCACGACCTGCCAGGGCTGAAGATGGCAGGTATGGTTACATGGAGGAGGGGAGTGGCAGGTCAAAGGTCATGCTGGCACTCGTGTGTGTGTGTGTGTGTGTGTGTGTGTGTGTGTGTGTGTGGTGTATGCGCCTGTGTGTGTGCGCATGTGCAGGCAGACATGTGATTATAAAACAGCAGGTTCCCTCCTGTTTTTACCAGCCAGGCAACATAGTAGAGGGAGAGAACACTGGACTAGGAGGGGAAGAACCCTGCTTAGGTTCTGCTTTTATCCCTCATCTCTCTCTGGCTGGGTGATTTTGCATAAACCCCTCAGACCCTTGGCCTCTGCTTCTTCAGCTTTAATATGGACTAACATGCTGCTTCTAAATGCTGCTGATAGCCCAGCCTGCCTGTGTCCACCAAAGTAGAGGACAGGGATGGACTCAGAAAAATGCACAGCAACAGTGTTGTAATCCCGTAGTTGATGACACCTGGGACTGACTTTCTGCAATGCCACTCTACCCAGCAGCTTCCTCCTGCTCATCAGATGATGTCATCTTGGATAACCTTGCATTCAAAGTCTTTTCTCAAGTCAGTCCCACTTCCTTTTCAGGACAGTTAAAAATGAACAACTGTCACTACTGCTTACTTACTTCTTACTGTATACGGTCCATGTACTAGAAACTGTTTCTTTCAATTAGTCCTCACCACAGCTCTGAGGGATGCCAGTCTCACCACTCCTGTTTGACAGATGAGTAAGTGAAGCTTGTCTAAGATTGTGTAGAACCAGCACACAACAGCATCCTTAGCTGATCCATAGTTCTAAGCATACTATACTGCTCTCTATCCATGTCAAACAGACCCAAGATCCACCTGCCTCCAGCCCGTCGTCCTGGGTTCCATCCTTGTTCATGACCAGCTCAAGTCCACTTCATCCCTGAAGTCTTTGGATGTGCTGCCTCCAATGGTCCCACCTGCTGAAACTTCATAGCTCCTCTGGCTCTACCACATCCTTGTACTTTTCAAAGTCTGTCTCATGAAGCATATTTCTCAACTCACCAGTTATCCTAGACAGCAGGGTTCACCCTGGTTTTTTCCCCCCTGCAAATGGCTAGCTAGCATATATTTCAGATGTGCAGGCCATAAATTCTCTGTCACTCAAATCTGAGCACAGACAATGTCTAATATCTTTGCCCCAACCATAGGTAGTCTACAGATGGAGATTTAACCACTCTGGAAAGAGGTGTGCATGTTTAAGTCCTACTTTCTGGAAAATCAGTGACAGCACATTTTCAAACATACATGACATGTCCCTATGCATCACCTATATTTACCCATTGTACTTTTCATCCTCACCAAACTTCTCTGCTACTGTGTTTATCCTTGTGTCTTGGTTTAAATGGCTAAGGGATGGATTTGCAAAAGTATCCTAGCCACACATATGGACCTTAGAGCCAGGATGTGGGAGGGGTTACCCTCTTGTCCATCACTAATTCCTGAGGGACCACAGGATATAGCCAAGAGGCCGCATTTAGAATGTCCTGCCTCTGTCTGTCTTTACCATCTAAAATAGAAAAGTTGGGTCCCAAAGGAGTTTTGGAGCTGGTTCACAAATGTGAAGACTCATTGGCATCATTTGGAAGATTCTAGAAACACAGCAGTTCCTGGGCACCACTATCTGTGGATTCAGTGAGGAGCTCTAGAGGTGTGCTCCTGTGTTCTACCGGGGGCTCCAAGTGCAGCCAGTACTGACAACTGCTGGGCCACAGCTGGTGGGGGTCCCTGAACCTGCTTCTGCTTGACTTGATGCTGGAGACCCACCTTGTCCAGTTGCCTCTCTGTGCCCTCACCTCCTCCTACCCCACAGCTGGCTCCACTTCTGGTCTCCAGGCACAGGATAAGCTTTAACACACAGTTAAATTAATAGTGCATGATAAGCCATTGACAGAGGGTGGGGAAGGAAGGAGGAACAGGTACATAGCTTGAAGCTGATTAAAATGATATACAAAAATACTATAGGAAAACCTTCCAAAAAAAACATTTCAGGTCCCCAAAGCGGCCATGGAATTTTCTCACCACCTGATAAAGACAACTTTGAGACAGCAGTGCAGGTCAGGTCTTTCATGATCTGTGTGTGACTCTGTGGGACAGTATCAACCAGCAGGAAGACACAATTTAAAAAAAAATTGCCTTTAGTTTCAAAAATGTGTCTTGGCTTTAAAGGTTTCAGATCTTCTTTTTTCTTTTCTTTCCCCAAATGGCCATCAAAATTGGTTTAGCTCTTTAGTGAAACCAAGATAGTACTGCAGCATCAAATCACCGTTGGATCAAAGTAGCAAGCTGGGGGGATAATTCAGTGGCAGGTTTCTTTGCAGGGTTGGTTTAACGATAAGAAGAGTATCAGAGAACTATACTATGTTCCTAAGAAAGAAGACCTAAACACACAGTGCCTTCCATTAGCATGCTTTGAGTTATTTGTAAATATAACATTTCTCAAATGGCAGAGGTCTCTAATGGTGAAGGGGAAACAAAGGGTCCTTCCCCACATTGGCTATTTACCCACTATTGTTGAACCTGACACCTTGAAAAGTCTTTGGCAGTTTCTCCAACTTTATCTCATTCAAAGGAAAGCACTCATGATGTAGTTCCCAAGTAGCTACTATCAGGTACAAATCCTGAGTTTCAGGAGGACCCCTAGGAAGCTGAGCTGAAGCCCCCTACACAGAGCAGAAAACCAGGACTTCAGAGGAAATGAGGAAATGACTTGAAATCAGACAAATTGGGGACCTGACCCCAGGCCATTTGACTTTACAGCCTCTCCTAGCACAAACTTCACTGTAGTAGTTGTAAGCATCACTCCTGAAGTTTCATATCTTGACCTCGTCATTTTACAGTCTTGTTGGAAACAAGATTGTGCATTTCGAAGGATTAGAGAAAGGCTGAAAGGTGCTGAGGTCTATAACTGTGTGAAGTAGAATTTTCACTGTTGTGATTTTTGTTCCTTTGCTGATTTTCTTGTGCGAGAAAAAGGAGGTAGCAGGGACAGCCATTTGGATAACAAGATCACAGGAAGACATTACATCTAGGTGCCTTCCTCCAACACGTTGAAGATGGAAACTATTCATATTCTTAGCAACAGAAGTTTCCAGGTCTTCCTGGGCCCACTTCCAACCCCTGTGGATTAGTTTTCAGGCACCAGGAGGGCTGGGTGACCTCCTTCAACTGGCAGTTCTGTTGAATGTTGAACGACATGGACCTGTCACCCAGGGAGGGCTCCCATTTTTATTCCTTTTGGATTGGAAATAGGGCTTAGCTGGAACAGACCTATGTGCTCCTGTGTCTTGGGCTTGGCTCACAGTTCCTAACCTGGTGCTGCAGGCCTGGGACTTTCGGCAGGCTGTGCTGCTTGGGCAGGCTGAGCCTGCATCCGCTTGGAGGACTTGTGAATGATGCATGCCCCAAGCGGGTTTGAAGGTCATCATTCTGGCCAAGTGCTCACAATCATCTGACTCAATGACATGGCAATGACCAGCTCAGTACAGCAAGGATAAAGAAAACCAAAACCACGCCAGTACCCAGAAGGGGAATCGTTCCCTCCTGCTTTTGGAGCCTAAAACCCCCAATGTCAGCTGCTGCCTCCCAGGCTGAATATTGACAAATGCACAGGGGAGCTTTGGAGGAAAAGCAACGACCAACCAATGACTTGTAAGAAACAGTTCAGTTTCTTTGCTTCACTTCTTCCATCGTTCATATTTTTCTAAAGCTCATGACTCATTTATTTATGTATTTATTTTGAAAAGAATGTTTCAAATGGAAAGTGACAGACCTCTACCAACAAGTTGGAGGCCTCAGGTAGACAGGAAACTGACTGTTCTTAGCACAAGGGGGTGAGGGCTGGAGGGAGTTCTGGGAAAGAAACACAAAGGTGCTTTGAACTCATCTAGTCTTATGGCTTGAACCAAGAATGCCTTGAGGCTTACCAGAGTCTGGTGAAGCAGGACAAGAAGTAAGAATAATGAGAGATGCAGGTGTGGAAGACTTCTCAAACAAGCAGAGGCACTCACCACTCACCTTGGGTCTCCCTTCCTGCTTAGGTCTTGTGATGTTGCTCCCAGAGCCCCATAGATAAATGGGCATGGCTGACTCTCCATGCCCATTTATCTATGCGCTGGGCATGGAGAGAGGGTGCAAGCTGGAAAGGGGCTGGGAGGGACGTTTCACTGAAGGGTGCTGACTTGCTGAGGTATTATGGCAGCGCTAGTCTGTCAAGGTCAATATCACATACATTCCTGTGGCAACTACCTATGACCTTGAACTATGTCACAAAAAGGGAGGTTGAGTCTGTTTTCTGTTTGCCTCAAAAATTCTCAGGCAGTCATAAAGAGGTATGTTTTGGTGGGAAGATATGTCTTTGGAACAATCCAGAGAGATGATTCGGCTAGACAGCCTTGAGACTCACCCGGACCACGTAGTTAAACCTTCTGGAATCCAGAATGGCTGTGGAAAAGTCCAGTCTATTGAAGGCTTCCCCCAAGGTACAGTATCCATGGCGCTGTGTGCGAAATTAGGCACAGAGGTTACTTTCACCACGAGGAGGTCATTTCTCCAGAGCAATCCAGCTGGATGCCACCGAGCAAGCCCAAGACCCATCTAAGGTCACCCTGATGCTGGGTTTCTTTTGCACCCATAATCCTTGTGAGCCCCCAAAATGTCTATGCTGGTGGCAGAAGCTTTAGTCAGTGACTCCTGTGTTAACTGCTCCTTTTCATGACATGTATTTGGGCCCTTGTTCTCTGCACACACTCATCTGGGAAAATTGCAAAAGCAGTGGCTTAGCCCTGAGGGACTGAGAGGTGGATGTTATGCTGGGTGAGATCCTGAAGGCTGGCACCTGTCACATAGCCCACCTGTGCCTTGCCTGGCACAGAGTACCACTCTCAGAGTGATCAGCAAGATCATCACAAAGGCTTCATGAAGAAGCAAAAGATGTTTTCAGGGCACTAGTCCCAGGGCTCACAGTCCCAGCCATGTTATGCACATCTGGGTGGTCTTGGTGTGTGTCACTGGTCCCTTTTGGGCCCCTAATCCCAGAGGCAACAGGGTATTCTCTGAGGTCCCTACAGTGAGGGAAAAACTTATGCCACTGCCTTGTACTCTGGTTCTACAACTAAACGCCCAAATAATACCATATGCATGTGAAACAGCTCTGTAAAGTACTGCACACATGTGCAGTTTGTCTGCCTGTTGAAAGCCTAAGCGTGGCTCTGAGGATGCCTTCTCTCTTCCTATACCATGCTGAGCAGGTGCTATGGGCTTTGGCTGTACTTTGATCAGCCCTTCTGAGGGGCTGCACCTTAGTGAAGTTGGGGGCTGAAGAGATCTCAGGACACAAGGAAAGCACTGACCAGAGTCCAAACCCAGGACTTTGCAGCCACATGCAGAATCAGGCACATTTATCTTTACAGAGCATTCGGATGTATGTGACCTTCCTGCAGGCCGGATGAGTGCATCTGTTGACTTCTGCACCCTTCTTGCTCCCTGGCCTCAAATTCTGATGGTTGGGGAGACAGAAAGCTGTTGCTAGCCGCCCTCCACCCTCCCACCCTACCAACTTAGAAGACAGTCCCGACTGGTGGCCATGCCAGTGCCCGGCTTCCTGTGTGGGAGGCTTCAGGAGCAGCATAACTTTAATGAGCGGGTTGATGCTCACCTCTTTAGTGCTCCCTTTGTGAACATAAATCCACTTCTCTTGGTGGAAATCTGTGGAGACCAAACAGCAACGAGAGAGCTTTAGAACTTGTAATGTGTGAGAATTTGGACACACTTTTCTTTTATTTACTCTAGACTGAAGACATTTTGATAAAAACCCAAGACTCTACTGACAATCCAAGATACAAATGCTAATTTCAGCAGGATATGGATGGGGCTATAAATTGTTTCGTCCTAAGCATTTGGTGATTGGATTTACTATAACAAAGTAAAAATACAAAACAAACCAAAAAGCTAATAATGAGGCACAAGTTTGTTTTAGATGCTAAACCTAAAACTTACATGAGGCCATAAAAAAAGAAATCAGAAACAAGATGAGGAAGTCATCATGCAGTAGATAACTGAATTTATACAGCCTATGATTCCTGCTTTTTTTTAAAAAAAAGATATATTTGTTTTTAAATAAATAAAAAAAAAGTCAGATATACAGAGAGGAGGAGGAGAGACAGAGAGGAGGATCTTCCATCCAGTGATTCACCTTTACTGCTTTCCCAGGCCACAAGCAGGGAGCTGGATGGGAAGTGGAGCTCCTGGGATTAGAACTGGCACCCACATGGGATCCTGGTGCGTTCAAGGTGAGGACTTTAGCTGCTGGACTACCATGCTGGGCCCCAATTCCTGCTTATTAATAGAACTTTATATTCTCTGCTGATACTTGATTACATCAGCTAGAAATATTGGTAATACTTATGTAAGGAAAGATGGAGAACATCTCTTTCCAAACCACAGTTCAGAATAAAAGCACACTCCAGAGTTGTTTCAAGTGAGAACATCATTATATAATAACGATACAATCTTTGTCAAACGCAAGGAATAAGCAGGGGGAAAAAAAACCCACCACAGCTAGCAAATGACTAGCTGTGACTAGTCATTACAAAGAATCCAGCACAGAACATGTAATCTTGTTCATATAGTGCACAGCCAGAGGGCTATCATGGTGGCTTAATAAGCTAATCCTCTGCCTGTAAGTGCTGGCATTCTAGATGGGTGCCACTTCGTGTCCTAGCTGCTTCACTTCCCATCCAGCTCCCTGCTTGTGGCCTGGGAAAGTAGCGGAGGATGGGTCAAGTTCTTGGACCTTGCACCTTTGTGGGAGACCTGAAAGAAGTTCTTGGTTCCTTGCTTTGGATTGGCTCAGCTCTGGCAATTGTGGCTATTTGCGGAGTGAACCAGAAGATGGAAGATTTCTGTCTTAAGTCTGCCTTTCCAATTAAAAATAAAATAAACCTTAAAAATAAACAGCCAGGTCTCTGTGTGCAGGGATCTGGGCAACCTCTGCAGAGTACACACGGTGCCTGCCCCAGGGAATGGGAGGTTTGATCTCAGAGGCCAAGCACAGCTCACTTTAAACAGCTCTCTGTTGACATTCCAAGCACACGGCTTACATTGAGTTTTGGTTTTGCTGTTCAGTATGTCCTTCTTTCTCTTCTTGGCTGCCACATCGTAGTTGAGGCTGTTGAAGAGGTTCTCTTTGTTGTACACCTCCTTGCTGCAGTAACTGTGAACAGCACATCAGAGGGTGAGATGGAACAGCAAGGCTTATGAGAGGAGCTTGTCCTATAAATAGCTTCCTGGGTTCTAAAACACACACACACACACACACACACACACACACACACACACACGCGCGCGCGTCTCAACCAAAACAAAACAATAAAAGAATCACTCCACTGAAGTCTACACAGGCAACAGACTTCCCTGTTTCAGGCTGAGATGTTGTCATATTTGTGGGAAGCAGGAATGGGGGCTACGACTTCTTTTGAATTCCCTAACAGTGCCTGCCATTGTGGCTTGACGCACAGCTCTGTGCACTGTGGAGAAGCACAGGGCAGGGGTCGAAACATTACTGAAGCCAGCGTGCTGAGCGGCTTGTGTGTGTGTGGGGGGGAGGAATGGGTGACAGCGCTGGTGGTGTCACTTAACACACAGTACTTTCATTTTGCAAATGTGTCACTCTGAGCATCGTAAAGAAAAGCCTGACTGAGGCAGAACTTCCCTGCTGTACTGTGTAAAGTGCGCCCAGGCTGCTTGAATTAGTAGGTATCGATCGTGTCTTTACCAAAAACAGACTTTCAAGCTTCATTTCTAACACTTGTTGACTGTGCACAGTGATAGCTGCTGAGGGAATCCATGTTCCTTAGCTAGCATTCGGCATTGGGCTGTGTGAGGTGCAGACCCAGGGTGCTCACTCCCACAAAGCAGGATCAGACCTCATCAGGCTGTAGGACTGAAAAGACATGGAGTGCATGTACCTGTCCTGTTGACAAGGCACTGAAGGATGATGGCCAGGCTCAAGGCCAGCTGTGTATCCCTCTCAGCAGGTGAGCTATGGTTTGAGGGTGGTTGATGAGTTCCCTGCACTACACAACGTAGCTTCAAAGTGCATCTCTGATTCCCAGAGAGGGTACAGAAAAAATAGCAAGGTGTGAAGGGAAGATAGGTTACCTCCATGGGGTACTTATGACAGCATTTATGATGCCAATTGGTAAAGTGTAAATTGGAGGGGGCTTTTTGTTATGCCACCTTTAAATTTCTGAGCACTGCCACTGAATTTAATAGGTGATCTTACTTCTCTCTCTCTTTTTTGGACATAACATTTGTTGGGTAAAATGAGCTGCACCTGCGGTCCTCTAAGCCACTGCTATTGTGTGAGTAGCCGAAAAGCAAACCGTGGGTTTGAAACCATTTTCAGGATGCTTCTGTGGCAACAGCATCTCTCAAGTAGCACTTTGGTGGGTTTAACAAGTCTCTTGCTAAAATGCTTGTAAGTATTTTACATGAAGTGCTTTAGCATCTGCACCACATTCTTAGGGTTGCTCTTGTGGGCCTGTGATGGGGACAAGCACAATGGAAAGTCCGTCGCTTGTTGGCCTTCCCTCCTGGGGATATGCTTCTTGCCATTTATTAAGCTTCCCAATATCACTAACCTTCTCCTTCTAATTCAGGGAAAGAGGATATTTTTAGGTTTCAGATAGAATGTGTCCTCTCTCTGCGGAGGCATTTTTCTCAAACAAGCCAAGGGTGAATGTTTGGGGCAGTCTGTGTGTAACATGTGAGCCTGTGTTTGTCTACTTGAGTGATTGTCGCGATGCAAAATGCCTGACTGGTTGGTTATCTGCTCCAAGGTCAGCAGGGCATGGGGAGGGGCACAATAAAGACAGAACAGAACTGGGAGTCCTTGAGGCTGATCTAAGAACATGTCAAAACTGAGGAAAAGAGAAGGGGATGGGATGAAGGCCACTGCGTGTTCACAACCTACTAAAGCATCTGAAAGCCAATGCAGGAATATTCTGGATGCAAAAATCCCACCTGAGGACTTATTGGGAAGAATCTCCGCACTACCAGATAATAATAACTTATAAGCTGCCTTTCTTTCCATCTCAACTTTTGCCAGTGGAAGATTCTGTAGAAACTTACAGAGTTTGGGTCATGGACAGTGGCCATTCTCAGGCAGTTGGAGCATTTAAGTTTAGTCATGTTCTTTACTAACTAAAAGGGTTCCTTGCAAGGAAATTGACTGCTTGCTTTTCCAACAGAAGCGACAAACCACCTGCCTGGAGCCTGAAGGATTCATTTCTATGGAAGAACTTGACGTAACAGAGGCTGATCACTCCGTGGAGAAGGTAGAATAATGTCACCAGAGAGAAGTGGCATGCTCTGTGTTTGGGATTAAGCTTTGGTTTTCAGAGAAGGTTCTGGAAAGAAGGGCTCTGGAGTTTATTTCTGTTGCCTGCCTGTATATATTTTCTTTTTAACAATCCTATATTCAGTAAGATTTCAATCATGTCCAGTTCAAGGAAATGAAACCCCAGGGGAAAACTGAGACTGAGACTTGGAAAAAGGAAAACCACCACTGTTTAGGAGTTGCAGAATTCCTTGATTTTCTTTCAAAGAAGCAAAGTCATCTCAATGAGGCTGCTTTCGTCGCTAAAACTTAACAATGCCACCAAGCTGTTCTTTTATAGTCAGTTCTTACTAACGTTGGTTTTTGTAGGTCTAGGTCTGGAATGAGCTCCTTTTCCGTAGCCTTCACCACCATGGAACACATGACTGATACTAAGATGACTTTCGGAAAGGTGGAAGGATTCCAAGAAAAGACCATAAGGAAGACCATTTTAGCAGCAGATAAAGGAGGGAATGAAAATCAATGAAGCCAGTTTCTCATTTTTCTCATTTCAAATGCAGTAAGAACCATTTAAGAGTGCATTGTCTTTCCTGCAAAGACTTTTGGAATGTGCTTCAGAAAGCCTGTGGGAAAGTGGAATTCAGATATGATTTTAGTCCAAAAAATTGGAACCCATACATGTGAGGGGTTTCCATGAAGTTCATGGAAAGTGCATATTGTAAAAAGTTATGCAGGTAAATGTTTTTGTGCCAATTTTTTTTTTTTTACTAGCAGGTTTCGTGCTTTTTCATGATTTCTTTTGAATTCTCAAGTATATAAACAGATTTCCTCAGACTCACAAGGTTAGCATCTGGCTGGCACAGTGAAACAAACAACCTAGTCTACAGGGCTCACTTAGGACAGTGCCTGGGACACAGCAAGCACTCATCAAACCTTAACTATGACTTGTTTTTTTGGCCAGTGAAATAAGGCAGACTTCCTGGTTCCTGGTCCAGCCCTAGCGTACATAAACCAATATTAGGGTGAGATTTTGATGGCAGAAGTGTAGGCCTGCAGAAGAGCTGCCAAGGCTCGGAGGCTAAGGTTACCCATCCTGGGGGAGCCAAGGGAAGTGGGGTGGTTGGTTAGGAGGGCTAGGCTTCAACTACTACTTCTCGGAAGCATTCTTGGAGCATCCCAATGCATGCTGACATCTTGCCTTGCATTCTTCATTGCCTCACCTAATTTTATCCACTTTTTATATTGTTTCAATCTCAGAGAAGGAGTCCTGCTTTAGGCTTATCTTAACTCCTCTCACGGTCTCCAGCTGTGTTGAGATTTGCTGGAGGAGGACAGGTTGCTGGGCCACACAGAGAGAGAGAATGGCCAGAAAAGTATGCCACTAAGGCAAGGCCACAGCCAACCCCCACCTGGGAGCGCAGACTGACAAGCAGCGAGTGCGTCCTCCGCTCCTCACTCTGGCCCGGCGGGGTGGGACCAGAGAGGTTGGCCAGGCCTCTGTAGCCCTCAGTTGTACAGTCCCTTCCCCTTCTCCAGAGGCCTGCCTTTTGTTTTCCTCTAACAGGAGCAGCATTCAACTTCACCTATGCAGGCAGGCACTCAGCCCAAACCTGACATCACCGAGCAAACGTCACCAAGACGGAAAACAGCAGGGATATCTGAGATGACAACCCCAGACCTCAGAAGGCCAACTGCTTTTAAGAAGTTGGCAGGCTGCTCATGCTAAGCAGGGAAGGGATTGTTTACAATTGCTGCTGGGGGTTAGAAGGGGGAGGCGGGAAAATGACCCTGCAAACAAACAACCGGCTTCTTTGCTGGGAGACTATCAAGTGGTTCCTCAGCTCTGACTCATCCAGTGGCCGCAGGTGGTCACGGTATCGATCACTATTTTTGGCAATGATGATTGATGAGTGTGACAGCTCCAATTTGGAAGGTGTGAAACAGGAAGAAAGGAGGCTCCAGAAAGTGGGGGGTGGAGGGAGGACAAAGAGGGCAGGAGGCTACCTGATCCCAGTCTCATCTAAATTTGGAGGCAGAGTTCAAGCCATCTCAGGTCTTCCATAATATGGAGAGGCACAAGGCCTTGCTTGTGTCGAAAGGAGATGGACACCAACTTATCTTGTGAAGCAGGAGGCGGGTAAGTGTTAGCACATGTCAGACAGAGGACCCACCCTTTGCAGCCTCTCACTTGTGCCCATCCCTCTGAGAAGGAGCAGCCTGGAGACCATGCGGAGGTGACTCAGTGGGCCACCACTGCACCTTTCTGGAAGGGATCTGGCGGTGCACACACAGAACCAAAGGGCCAGCATATGCCAGCAGCACTGCTCTGGAGCAAGGAGGACAGATGGCAGCTCTAGTCCCTTTCCATTTTTTTTGTTGAGGTAGATCAAATGAGGTCTAATTGGCAGCTATGGTAGCCTCAGCATGGTCTGGAGACAACAGTGGGTCATTTTGTTTTGCTGTAAATAAAGGACCTGCTTTTTACAAGAAATCTCCACGGGAGTCCCCTGACTCCTCTTGGACTGCCTCAAACCAGCTTGGTCTCTAAAGGTTTATCAGTTCTCCAGTCTCTCCTGACCAAATCCAGGGTTAAATAATTTACTTCTCTTTATTGGGAGACAAAAGGAATTTGATATATTAACAAATCACAAACAACTTGCCAAAGTAACCAGTTTCTTGATGGTTTTCTTAACATCGATTGCCAAAGCTTTCTCCAACTCAGAATCGGCAAGTAAGTGGGAACCTGGCTTAGTCATAGAGCCCAAGGGGACGTCTTGGCAAAGGCAGCTGGAAAGGAAACCTGGGGTGACTCCAGCTGTGTCCCCAATCCCACCCGGAACCCCTTTCACAAATGGCCCGCCAGGGAGTAGCTGTGAAGCTTAGGAGACCATGCACCATCAGCGAAGCTGAGCACCGAGTTTAGGGATCTCAGACCCGCTCTCAGGTGGGCCCTCGGTCCAGGCGCTCACGGGTGCCTATGGGATTGGGGTGGCGGGTTCTGCTGAGGACACAGGTGCAAGCGCTGGCCCTCTGGGAAAGCAGTAAGCTTCACCTCCGCCTCCCTCCCCTCCTCCGCCCCTCGGCGTCACCACGGGTCCTTAACTCCTGCAAGAATGCGCAGCTGCCCCAGGAAGCAGCCGGCCAGCCATCCTTCCCCGGCTACTCCCCCCTCCCTGCCTATTCTGCGGTCACCCGCGCGAGCGTGGGAACAGCCCGGAGGCGCTCCCGCGTCCAAACCCGACACCCGACTTGTGCCCACCCTGCCTGGGGCGCTTGGTGCTGGGCACGCTGCACAGTGTGTGAAAGGCACTAGGCTCACTCGCCTGCGCCCCCAAATGTGCAAATGGTGCCAAGCAGGGGTGGGCTGTGTGGGATGGTGGCGGTGGCCTTAAGTTGTGTGCCTGTTAGGGCGTCTGGGGACAAGATCCGCGGCTGTTGTCAGATTCTCCAAGGGAATGGGGTTCTGTAAGCAGTTATGTCCGCTCAGAGACCTTGACCTTGACCACCAAGAGAAACGTGTCTCCGGTGTTCTGGTATCCTGTGCAGAAATCTGGGCAACTCATTTCCCCTGGGCAGGACCCCCTTTTCTTCCAGTCCCAGATCTGCCCAGCCCCAGTTTATCTACTCCCCAAGCCTGGCCCTTGCGCCGCTGGGGCCAGGTTGCTTTGCGGAGCTGGAAGCCAGCGGCGGGTCGCCTCACCTGCTGAGGTCGCTCACCAGGCTGCTGCTTTTCTCATCCAGGAAGCGCTTCCAGCCGTCGGCCGTCTTCACCCAGCTTTGCCCCGGGGACCGCCAGTCCTGCCCGAGGAATGGCATGGCACCAAAAAAAGAGCGATCGCGAGCTGGGACGGGCAGGAAGACGGCACCCGGCTGACGGCCTCGGGTGGACGATCCGAGTGCTGGGCCGGAGACCCGCAGAGGGCTGAGGGCTGGGGCTGCGCAGCCGAGACTCTGCGCCCGCGGGCTGGAGGCTAGTGCCGGCACCGGCAAGGATCGCTGGGCGTCGGACTCTGAGCGTTGCGCGGCTGGCCGGGCCGCTCTATTTATCCCGGGCCTCTGGCCCCGGCTCTTTGTTGCCGGAAGAGCCGCCTGCCCTTGGCCCGGCCCCCGCCGGCCCGGAGGCCACGTGGCTTTGTTTATGGGCTCGGCTTGTTTTCCGAGGCGCCCGCGGCTCCGCTCGCCTCGCGGTTGCACAACCGCGCGCCCGTGGAAACTCGCGGTGGAGCTGCCAGGCCAGCTCTCCCGCCGCCCCCAGGCCCTGGCAGCGCCGCAGTGCCCCCCCTCTCCGTTCCCAGCCGGGATGCAGCTGCCACGGCCCCGAAAGAGCCAAGCCCGCGTTCGGGAACCCGTGCCCGGAGCTCGCGCCGCTCTCGGGCCGAGGAGCGGGGACCAGGGCCAGCTTCCTTGGGCCTCCCGGGCTGTCACGAACGGACTCCACTCTCAGATCGGCCTTTCGGGGGGAGCGCCCACGGAGCGCTGCTGGGGGCTCAGCCTGGGGTCTGTCTCACTGGCTGCGTGCCCCTAGGGCGCCAGGGTCGGAGTGGGGGCAGGACTAGCCAGTCCTCGCTCCACCACCAGGAGCTTGCATGAATGCTGTCAGACCTGATCCTGGTGGGGGTGTTGGGCGGCGCCGGCTGGCAGTGGAGGGCAGGAGCTGTCCCCGATGCCACCTCCAGCCCCTACGCAGCGTGGCCAGTGGGGTCCCGCAGTAGGGCGGCGGGGCTGGCCTGCAGTTCCAAAAAGCCGCTGTCTCCTCTCCCAGCACCCCGCTGTTCGACCTCGGCTGGGTGGTTGCGTCCTCCCAGGGGAATTGCAGGCCGGAGTTTTGCTTTCATTGCTTTCGGAGAGCCGAGACACCTACTGCGGGACCACGAAGCCTGCATTTCAGGGAGCAAGCCGATTGTCCCCAGCTACCTACCCGGGTGTGTGCACCCGCGTGGAGTCACCCTTCATGCCCTCGAGAGGGAGTGAAACTCGTGGAGGGCCCAGCCAGGGCCACACTAGGCGCTTTGCTTTTACTTTTTGTTTTGCTTTTGGTAAGCGTCTTTCTACAGAATGGAACTGCGTGAGCCAATCCGGTTCTCAGGTTCTCAGACATCCGAGGCCCAGAGTCTGCCTTCTGTGAGTGTCTTTTGTAGGACCAGTGTGTGGGTACCACAGGCTGAGCCAGGCGGCTTCTGGCCCTTCTCTGCACCCTAGGGAGCCGACTGCACAGCGCGGTGGCAGCGAAATAAAGCCCCTTGTTCCAGCGTTATCTTTCCCCGTGGCTTCTCCCATGCTCTGTTCTCTGCAGCCACCCCATCTCCTCCTGCACTCTGCCATGTTTAAGGCTCAGAGCAGTCGCGGGAGTGGGTTGTGTGTTAGGGTGCAGGTTACAGGGAGGAGAGATTGGCAATAAAGCCTGTCCCAAGTAGCTAGGGCTTTCTGCTTTTCATTTCTCACCATAAATAATTTATGAGTAACGTGGTTTTTCTGGACACTGTAGGAGGGCCCAAACAAGCATTCAAGCTAGATGACAGGGTGACGGGTCTGTCCGGTGAGAATGGATAGCTTTGAGGAGGTGGAGTTATGGAATGTGATTATATAAGATGAATGTTAGTTATGTGTCCAGGGATCCATTCCCATGGAGCCCAGAGAGGGCAGAAGATTTGAATTCTAATTCTGCTAGGATAACAGACTGCCCTTGTATGAATGACAAATTCCTGGGCCTCTGTTTACTTAGCTGTCTAGAGAGAATGAAACAAATGACACTCATCGTTCAGGGCTCCGATTCCTCCTCCTCCTTAACGGTGTTAGGTGCTCACAACACTGTTGCGGCCTCCAGGGGGACAGTTTGTACTTCTTGGTTCTTGATGTGGGGCTTGGCCACATGACTTGCTTTGGCCAGCAGGATGCTAGTGGATGTGATGTGGGCAGAGGATGATGTGTGTACTTGCCTGGCTGAACTTGACCTCTAGTGAGTCCAGCAGCACCACTGCTTCTCCAGTGTCCAGAGTAACACGGTGTGTCCTGAGATGTGATACGTTGCTCTGTGGATATGTTAGCAAGAACTGAATGTTTCTGGTTGAAGGCGATTGGAGTCTGCATGGTCCTTCTATTACATAGCATCACTATTTCAATAGGTGACTTCTGTAAGGGGCTGGGTGCTCATAGTAAAAATCCTTTTCCCTCTCTCATTCTTTCTTCCTGACAGCAAAATTTTCTTCCTTCCCTCCCTCCCTCCATTCTTTCTTTCTTTTCTTTTCTTTCTCTCTCTCTCCTTCCCTCCCTCTCTTTCCTGCCCTCTTTCTTTCCATCCTTCCTTGTTTCCTTCCGGTCTTTTTGTTAAGAACTGATATCAAGAAACCTCAGTTTTTGAAGGGTACTGTGGTTGTCTCTTCCTATTCCTCAAGAACAGGGGATGGATGGGCAGGCGTGTGGCTGCAACCCACATTTAAGTGCTTGGTGAAAGTCCCAACTTCATACATTTTTATATTTTTATTTTTAAAATATTTATTTATTTTTATTGCAACATCAGATTCACAGAGTAAAGAAGAGACAGAGAAAAAGATCTTCCATCTGTTGGTTCACTCTCCAAGTAGCTGCAATGGCCAGAGCTGAGCTGATCTGAAGCCAGGAACCAGGAGCTTCTTCCAGGTCTCCCATGTGGGTGTGGGGTATCAAATCCTTGGGCTGTCCTCGACTGCTTTCCCAGGCCACAAGCAGGGAGCTGAATGGGAAGCAGGGCAGCTGGGATTAGAACTGGCATCAGTATGGGATCCCAGGGTTGTAAGGTGAAGGCTTTAGCCACTAGACTACTGCACCGGACCCTATTTCTTTTGGTTTTTATTTTAAAAAGTTTTTTATTTGAAAGGCAGATTTACAGAAAGGCAGAGATATCTCTTGTCTGGTGGCACACTTTTCAAATGGCTGCAGTGGCTAGAGCTGGACTGATAAGAATCTAAGAGCCAGGAGCTTCTTCTAGGTCTCCCACAAGGTTTCAGGGGCCCAAGCATTTGAACTTCTCTGCTTTCCCAGATAAGTAGGGAACTGGATGAGAAGTGGAGCAGCTGAGATATGAACCAATGCTGATACAGGATGCCAACGTTGCTGGTGAAAGATTAGCTAGATATGCTACTGTACCGGCCTCCCAGCTCTACTTCGGATTTTAACTTTTTTCTACTGCCGACTCTGGGAGACAGCAAATGGCAATTCAGGTAGCTGAGTCCTTGGCACCACTAGGGAGACCGGGAATGACTCCCCGCTTCTGGCTTTGGCCCGATGCAGGATGGTGATTCTGGGCATTTTGGGGGGCAGTCAACCAGCAGCTGGAAGATCTTCTGTCTCCCTGTCAAATTAAAAAAAAAGATGGTTATTGCATTTTAATCTAGGTTGCCTCTGAAGTGTGATTGACTGCCTTGGACTTTGCCTAGCATGAAAAATTGAACTTGACACGTTTCTGAACACATGATCCTTACTAGAAAGCCTTGTAATACTGGGTCCTTCAAGATAAAGAATGTGCTGGGCTAGGTCCAGAATAATTATGTTCACATCACATGTTGGCCAGACTTGACAAAAAAGACTTGATGTCATAGCTGAGCATTTGAGAATTCCCAAAGGCAAACTATCAGCATTATAGTTTTAGTCTGAAGACACACAGGCAGATGGATGTAGGAATTTCCCAAGGCACAGGCTCGTCAGGAGCTAGAACGGCCTGATAGTTTGGCCTTGCCCACAGTGTGAGCACCATGGCTGCGAGCTCCATGGCAGAGATGCCTAGCCACTATCTTTCTGCATAGCTTCCTGAAATGGATTGCCCACTTGCAGGCTGGCTGTTAGATTTTGCACATGTATTTCCTCTCTGTAGGGCTGAGAGCTCGCCGATTGTAGGACTGTGTTTGACCAATATAAGAACCAGTACCTAGTATGGTGCATGGAAAGCAATGCATAAATAATTCAATTAATGTTGCTCTTGAGTTGACAGGGAAAGCTGTTCTTCCCATGTCATCACCTAGTGATATCTCATTGTCCTTTGGATCTAGCAAGATGGAGAGGAGGGTGGGCAGGCAGCTGCCAGTCCCGCCTGGTGTGGTCGCTCCTCTCATTGGTAGTGCCTTAGCAGCTGTTGAAGAAAAGCAGGTAACCAGAGGAAGCATCTCAGAAACACCATGTGGGTGTCTGGGTCCTCTGAAGGCCGATGCCAGCCATGCCTAGGATACTGCCAGGCACTTGGCGAGAATAATCCTCTTCAGTCTCATAACCTCTAAGCTTGGGATTTTTCTTCTTATTTTACAGATGAGGAAATTTTGGCTTGGAAGGTTTAAGACACCTGTTTGAGACCACCAGAGTGATAGGGCACACTCCAACAGCCTCTCAGACCTTCTGACTGGAACTGGTTTGATTTGGTTTGACTTGTGGCTCCCCACTTAGGAAGCTGAAGAATCCTGGGCAACTTACTTAAACTGCCTGTGTCACACTCCCTTCAATGACAGCTCCTACCTCAAATGTCGCTGTGAGATTTATTGGGGCTGAGACACAGATGGAGTACTTCTAACACTGTCAATCTCAATGGTTAGTGCTATCATGGAGCCAAGTTTGCATTTCCCACTTTTACTCTGCTGAGTCTTTCTCCATTTTTTTTTTTCTCATTGAACTATAAATTATTAGAGCAAGGTGTATAGCTCACTCAGTTAATTTCCAGATGTGGGAAATCATGTCAGTTGGAGTAACAGATTGAGAACACTTCAGCAACCGTGGAAAATGGGATTGGAAGGTGAATTTATATTGCATAAAAACTTAAAAATTAAAAAAAATTCTTTTTAATATTGTTTACATAATTGAGAGAGATGCGTGCCCATATGGGCTTCTGATTAGGGTGGGGAGGGTCAGGTATGGAGGAAGGTGGGTGAGACACATGTTTCAAAGTTTTTTCTCCTTTGTCCACAGGGAAGGAAGGAAGGGGGCTGCTCCTTGTTGTCAAACTACATTAGCCCGCAGGGATAGGGATGGTTATTTGATGATGCCTTTGGGATCCTGATGTGGGAAAGAGTGTTCTGAAGATGTTATTTGAGTGGTTTTGATAGTTCTGAGAAGTTGTTGGCTTCATTGCTCCAGGGTTGGGATCTTTCCAAGGTCCACTGGTTGACAAAGTCCACCTTAGTGCATCTGCAGATCCAGGAACGTGCTGCAAAGCTTGGCCAGGAGACTTGTCCAACCTGTTTTGTTT